TGTGTGTGTGTGTGTATGCGTCAGCTTGCCTGGGACTATGCCTTGCAGCTTGGCCACTGCTGCTCCTGCCACTCTGCTGAAGGAGAGGGGGGAAGAGAGAGAGAAGGCTGGAGGAGTGGAGGGAGGCAGAGAGCGAGGGGGGACGGAGAGACAGAGGAAGACAGAGGGAGAGAGAGAGAGAGGAGTCCAGGCCCAAATAAAGCCATGGGGGCCGGGGCTGGGCTGAGCCCCCTTTTGCTATAAATACGCTGGCCGTCTGGAGGTTCGGGTTTGGTGGCTGGGGCTTAGGACCGGCGACCACCACTGCTGCTGCTGCTTCTGCTGCTGTTCTTCTTCTCAGGGGAGTCTCCTCATCATCCTCCTCCTCCTCCTCCTCCTCTTCTTCCTCATTGTGGTCATCAGTGTTCTGGGCATCCAAGATGCCTCGAGTGGACGCAGACCTCAAGCTGGACTTCAAGGATGTCCTGTTCAGACCCAAGAGGAGCAGCCTGAAGAGTCGCTCAGAGGTCGGTGCAGTTATACTCTGATAATGTGAAGTGTTACATCAAACTGGAGACACTTCTCCTGGAGCAGCTGTATTCAGGGAGCAGTTTCTATGATGGGTGATGTAATAGAGAATTGTTGACTGTTATAAGTGGATGATGCAGCATTCTGGGGCCTTCTAGTCCCGTTTGCTGTGATGTCTGAGTATAGCTGAGGAGTGTGACTCAGCTCAGGGTGATTTTATATCTCGTCATTGTCTTGTATGAAAGCCAGTATGTGTGCACCACCTTGCTTTGTTACAAAAGCCTAAAGCCTGAATGTAACAGTGAGGTGACCTTCTCAAAGGACAGAAAACTAGATGAGAAATAAGTGACCGTGAAGAAAGAAAACAGCAAGAGAAAAAGTTGAGGAGCAGATGTGAAAAAGAAGATTTAACCAGAAAACACTGGATTTCTTTCAGTTGTTGACATTTGAGGCCTTGTTGTGTCTGACACCCAATGATTCAGGGACAAAAACAATCCTCTCGTCATTCGTCCTCCTCATAGCTTCCTCGAATTTAAGATGTGTCACTAGATCAGGAGCTTGGTGCCAACCCAAGATCACCAGATCACTAGATCATTAAATCCGAGAAGTATATAGGTGGGAGTCGGCTCCTGAGAGTTGGCACGCAACATGAGACGTGGGGGGGACGCTTCTGAGAAGACGTGTTTAAAAATAGTGGCGTGTATGGTACAGTCGGTCAGAACACATTCCATACACAACACTGATATCAGGGATAACTGACACACATAGCAGCCTGGAGAACAGCAGGTACTCCAGGATGTAGATAGTGTCAATACCAACTCTATATTATCAAGCTCTGGAACATCTCACCTCATCCTCTCCATGTGGTGAATCAAATAAAAATGGCTGAAATCATATATAGACATCTGAGCTCATTGCAGCATGTCGGTGCTGCAGCCAAATGAAATGACTCTGAAAGCTCCTGTCGACACTGTGGCTGCTGCTGTTTGAATTATTGCTGGAGCAGAAATCCTCCTGCCGACTCTGAGCTTACAGCAGACCGTGACACAGTTGTTTTCAGGAGGAACATCACGGATGATAAAGTGCATCAAGACCACAAACACAGATGGATGGTTTCACTGATGCACCAACACTAAGGAGGAAGTTACCCCGCAAACGACTTCCACACGATTTCTTGATACGTGATTTCTGATGCAAATTACATAGTAAATGATAGAACTCATTGGGAACGTCTCAATGTGAATCATATGTCATACTCTGTCATTACTGGTAAAAATCCTACTGAGTCAGCTACAGTTGTAACATCTGTAAACTGCAGTCCTGTCCTATAAACTCATTGGGATGATATTTATCCACAGAGGCAGGATCGTAGCTATGATTTGCATCACGGCTACAGACACATACTTTTCCTGTAAAAGGAGCAGCCAGTGTGACACAACGAGCTCTGGTTGTTTCACGTAGCCGATCACGTTACAGTCAGCGGCTCGGGCACTGGGTCTAAATGATTCAGTGCGTCCCCCATTATGACAAACACAGGGTCAGCCATATGAGCTGGTCCCCCCCCCTTCTAAGAAAATCTGCAGCCTCCCTGCAGTCAGCAAGAGAAAGAATCCATTAGTCACATTAAAAAAAGATAACAAAACGTGGCTGCAGTAAGTTAATATTCGTAATAAGTATTTGTTTAATCCTCTTGTCTGCAGGTGGACCTTCAGAGGACCTTCACATTCCGCAACTCCAAACAGACCTACACCGGCATCCCTGTCATCGCCGCTAACATGGACACCACAGGGACGTTTGAGATGGCACAAGTCCTCAGCAAAGTGAGTGAATGGGTATAAAAAAAATTACACAACAGAATCATTGTGTTTTTTGTCAGCATGTCCCCTTCCCATCAGAAACCAGGATGCCTCAGGGGCCCTTAGGGGGGACACATGAATCAGAAACCTGGTCCTAGCAGCAGTAAAACATCTGCTCACTTGAAGCTTGTTGTCTGTTGTAACATCGCTGTTTGACAGAGGAGACGAAAGTGTGTAATCTTTATTTCATACGTCATGAACTGAATTAGTTACTTTTTATTTTTGAACATGGAGCCATACACAATTCTTCCTGGGCGTGTTGGAATAGTTATCAGAGAGCATATTCCTCCGCCAAGGCCCAGCTGCACCTTATTACACGCACCCACAGATATCAGTCCCCATTATTATGTCTGATTTTTAATCAAGGTTTCTGAATTATTGCTTTAGAAATTCACAAAAATAGCCTGAAATGTTAAAGAAGGTGATTCTGGATCTGCCCTTTTATCCACTTCCACACAAAATTGAATGAGTTCTTCCTTCGCACATGTCACATCCATTCCAAGTTTCGTGGAAATCCATTCAGTAGTTTTTGTGTAATCTCGTTCACAAAGAAACCGACGGGTGAAAACACAACATCCTGGGCAGAATTAACAAAACTGGGAAACCATGGTGACTTATTATAGGAGGAAATATCACAAATAATTACAGTGATATTTCAACAGTATCTAATATTTGATATTCTCTGTCTCTCTGTAGCACACCCTCTTCACAGCCATTCACAAACACTACTCCGTAGAAGACTGGAAAACTTTTGCTGCTGATCATCCAGAATGCATGGAGGTGAGACTCATCAACGTCTCTACAGGAACGGGATCGTGCACATTTTCTTTACATGCATCTCTTTTCACTCTTCCCCATAGCATGTAGCTGCCAGCTCAGGCAGCAGCAACGCAGACCTGGAGAAGCTGTGTGCCATCTTGGAAGCCGTCCCCGCCCTCAAGTACATCTGTCTGGACGTGGCCAACGGCTACTCCGAGTACTTTGTGGAGTTTGTGAAGACGGTCAGAGGGAAGTTCCCCAAACACACCATCATGGTAAGAGAGAGGCCAGCGGTGGTGTGTCTGATTAGAGTTGCGTGCTGACCTGTAACGTCCTCTGTGCCCCTGCAGGCCGGTAACGTGGTAACAGGTGAGATGGTGGAGGAGCTCATCCTCTCTGGGGCTGACATCATCAAAGTGGGCATCGGGCCAGGTGGGTGTATCTGACAATAGTCTGAGGAGAGTGTCGTCACAGAAATACACACAGAAACACACACGCCGGTGCAGAAAGACTGAGATGAGACATTTCAAATACACACATTAACCAGAAAAACAGAGATGATCATTTGAACTCACAGTGAAACCTTAAATAGGTAGATTTCATCTTAACTGGGATTTGACCCAGGAACCTTCTTACTGCAGCTGCTCCTCCAGATATTCTCTCTGTGTAATTTATTGCCTCCAAGTGCCTCTTACTGCACATATAGCATATCAGTGCATTATAGAGCCCCCCCTCAGGGTTAGAGTTACAGCTCTCAGGTTGCTACAGAGAGACTGAAGCTTTGGTTTGATTATGTGGAACTACACATAGTAGCCTTTGTTAATGCAGCATTTTGAAAATCGCTCAGGGTCCCAGTGAACACCAGTTAAATCCTTATATTGAATAGCGTGTGCCACATGAGCTCATCTACATCATGGTGCTGTTTAGGACACCAGATTTGAAAGATAGAAGCAGTAAAGCTCACTCTGGTTAATTTAATAAGGGCTGTATAAATATATATCATCATTATTATTATTATTATAACTATTATTAAAGATACTGGTATGAAGATTGACTTGTCATATGTGTGTGTGTGTGTGTTGCAGGTTCTGTGTGCACGACAAGGATCAAGACCGGAGTGGGTTACCCACAACTCAGTGCTGTCATAGAGTGTGCAGACTCAGCCCATGGACTGAAAGGACACATTATCTCTGTGAGTAAAATAAAGTATTATAGTAGAGTGTATAATAAGTAAACTATACTTAAAGCTGGTGGGAATCCGTCATTTGTCAAAAATATCAACTAGGGTCAAGTCCATGGTCCAAATCAAAACCAATCAATGTAGAAGATAGTGTAGTAATAAACAAATATTAACCTGATCCATAGCGTAGATCAATATAAGAGCCTCAGTCATATGAGCTTATACATTAATAAGTTTATCTATTGAAATCTCAGCAAGTGATACGTGTTAGATTTGTGTCTCATGGTGATATTTATAATACTATGATGCAGCCAGTAGAGGGCGTCCTCAGTGTGTTTGGTTGAGCCCATGTGACTGATTTGTTCCCTGTTCAGGATGGAGGCTGCAGTTGCCCAGGTGATGTAGCCAAGGCCTTTGGTGAGACTTACAGTTCCTGTTTCCTCTAATGTCACAGATTCACTGTTACAATCTACAAAATCTAACCAGCAACCACTTCTGCTCTGCCTCCGCTCCTCAGGTGCCGGGGCTGACTTTGTGATGATGGGAGGAATGCTCGCAGGCCACGACCAGTGCAAAGGGGAGGTCATCGAGAAGAACGGCAAGAAGTACAAACTCTTCTACGGCATGAGCTCCGACACGGCCATGAAGAAATACGTGGGAGGGGTCGCTGAGTACAGGTGAGACACTGATGTCTGGAGATTCTGAGTTTCTGATTCATCCTGATGATTCACAAAGTGGAAACAAAGACTTGTACTCACTGGGCCTGAGTCTGTGTCTTTCTCCTTTGGCTCTCAGGGCATCTGAAGGGAGGACGGTGGAGGTGCCGTACAGGGGAGATGTGGAGAACACCATCCGTGACGTGCTGGGGGGCCTGCGCTCCACTTGCACCTATGTGGGCGCCGCCAAACTGAAAGAGCTGAGCAGGAGAACCACCTTCATCCGTGTCACACAACAGTCAAGTCAAATGTTCACTTAGTGGAGCGTGGAGACACACACACACACACACACACGTATACAGAGGCTGCATTATATGCATTGTACATGTGTATACAGAATCACAACATTAGGACACACACACACACACAGACACACACACCTGACCTGTTTCTCTCAGGATATCTGCTGTCATGAAAGCTGTTAATTTCCTGCAGGTTGACTTTAAACATTCTCTCAGAGGCTTCACAGCGCTCCGATCAACTTAATCCTACAGCGAGTGCGTTTACATGCTTACAGACAAAATGTGATTTCATCTGTGGATGGGCCAGGTTCAAATGTCATGTTTCAGTTCTAACAGCCTGGGAAAAGAAACCCTCCACTGACGCATGTGTACTTCACAGCTGGTCTTTCGAAACACTCTTTTAACCTGAACATTTCTACAGCAACAGTTTATCAAGAATTGGAGCTCACACTTTGCATGTAAACACACTCAGCAGTAGGAGTCTGATACGTCTCCTGAGATCATTCGGTTGGACTGAATGTTTAAGTGTGCAAGATCTTTAATTGTCACTGGAGAAATCATGTCGCAATAAAGTGCATGCAGAGCCGTCTGCTGATTTCACCTCTCGTGTTGATTATTATGTGAAGCCTCTCCAAAGTCTGCAAATCATTTTCATGATGACATACAACTTTCTTTATGGGATGTGTATTTTTATGTCCAGGAAAATTCTGCTGAGCCAGAAGAACATAGAGATGAGATGAGTATCTATTCCAGACATTTAGTATGTTTCAGATGGTTTATGCTGCTTTAGAATCCGTCCTCCGACATTTAAACCAACCAACCAAACCATTTGTGTCTTCTTGTGCGATAAGAAAGGAACTGATGCCATTAAGAAAATGACATCACATATGAAATGTGGTATCTGGATTGATTGATATATATAGATACACATAAACATATATGTATATATACATATATTACACACATATATGTATACATATTTTACTTGTCGTACACACATATTTGTGGTGTTTATTTTAAAGTTGTATTTTTGCTATGCATAAAATTTCAATATCAGATCCATTTCTGAGATTCAGACACTGTTTTTTAAAATGTTCACTCCATTTTGCAGAACAGTTTAAACAAGGCCATTTTCCTGCACTCAAGTGAGTCAGGAGTTTCACTTTGTCACCACAGATTTAAAGGTAATGTAGCTCGTTTGGAATAAGAGCTGAGAGCAACATGACACATGAGCCTCAAACCCTTGTTGCCTAAAGTGGAGAGTGGTAGTGTGCCATAAAGCTCAATATGCACTAGAGGGGGCTAAAGTTCAGCCAAAACAAATTGAGGAAAAAGATCCTTCGTCAGCGACGGATGGGGCTGGAAGAGTTTGTGTCTGGCATCCATGTATAAATATGGTTCTGTGTAAAGGCGTACAAGGTATAAACTGGTGCTAAAAGACAAATAAAGACACAAATTGCTCATTTATTCCAGATATGTCAAGGTTTCATTTTCTTTTTCAAAGAGGTGCATTTGTACAGTTGTCAAATACATACACCAACAGGGTTTCTCCATTGCTATAGAGGAAAGGGGGGGTGGTGAGACACAGGGACTTGGTGAGTACAATATAGTACAAACAAGTTGGCTGGGAACTGCTGCAGCCCCCTGCAGGCCAGACCGTGTCCGTGCAGGTCTGTGCTGACGTTCTCTGCCACAGTCTCAATGGGCCACAAAGTGTCAGTTCAGTTCTCGGTGTGACAGGTGAGCAGAGACACATGTCAACAGTCTGGTCGCCGGCCTCGGGGCTGCGTGTTCAGAAACAGGGGGGAGGAGTCAACTGAGCCACAGCTGAAGGATAAGCTCCACCCCCTCCGTGGCAGTTGGCAGGGTCAGAGGTCACGTACGGCCCCTCCCCACACTGAAGTGTTTGTTGCCTTGCAGAGAGAGGCAGACGTTCAGTACACCGAAGAGACAACCGAGCCATCTCCAGCATAATACACATAATATCATATTAATAATAATTCATAGTTAACTGTCAATAATGACATTTGTTAATTATATCAAATCATATGTAATAAATTTACATATTTTATAACCCATATCAAACAGCCCACTATGTAAATTGATCGGGGTGAAACTAAACTGTTACGTGGGCCTCTACAAGTTTGTTTTCTTTCTGCCTGAGTTGGTTATCCAGCGCTATGGACATCGACGAGACATCATACAAAAAAAAGAGAAAAACAAAGAATGAAAAAAAAAAAAAAAAGGAATCCTGATTGAATTCTGTTCACTTTTAAAACACGACAAAGTGCCAAGAACACGTCCTTTTTTTGCAAAATGAAAGTAGAAACATCAAAGAGCACACATGCCTTTTTTCTGATCGAAAAGTCAAAAGCTCACACACCAACATTCATTTTATTTGTCAAGTTGTGCAAGAAGAAGCCAATTAAAAAAAAAGACATTAGCAGTGTTCCTCCAATGAGGAGGCTTGTCATAAAAACTCAACAATGACACATTCTCTACATGTAGTTTTAAGTCCCCTGACATTATAGTGAGTGCTACAAGGAGACCCAAAACACAAAAAAGCTCCTGCACCAAGGATAATGCAAAAAAAAAAAAAAAAGCTAAAGTTTTGAATGCTGCATTTTTCACACTGCGCCACCGAACCAAGCTGCACCGAGCTCCTGACAAAGAAATCCGCCAAATTAAAACTCCAAACGGGAACAAAACAACTAATAACAGCACAGCCTGGTCGGTACCGGGCGAAAAAAAAAGACTCCAAACAACAAGAAGGGATGCATTCCATGAGAAGAAGGTTTTCCTAAAAAGAAAAGAACCAAGGGTTCACCTAACACCTCGGCCCGTTGGACCCAAGAACGCGCCGGGCGCCAAGTGAGATGGAGCACAGACAGATAAACACAAGGTTACGGCAAGGTGATGTGCAAAAAACTTAAACTGAGCCACCTCTCTCTCTCTTTTCAACCTTATTCACCCCCTTTCCCCCCTGCTCTCATTCTCTCTGTCTGTTTTGAATGAATGTTACCCCTAGGGGAGGGTATCGGTCTGAGACAGAGGGGTTAGACCAAGCCCATCCTAGGATTAGAAAGTGCTGAAACATTATCAAGTCTTTTACATCTACTTACATGTGCATCTCTGTTGGTTGGTAGTTTTTTTCAAAATTCTTTTTTCTTTTTACTCTTTTTTTCTATTTTTTTTACCAAAAAAAAGTGGTCCCCACTAGTGATGAGGTTTCTTTTTTTTCTGTGGGTCTTACCACAAACCATCGAAGGTCAGGGTTTGTGATCGCACAGTTAGAGGAGAAAACAACTCAGTTACATGCACTCTAACGCACTCATACACAACTGAACACCAGGTGAACGTAAGCACGCATACTACACACATGGTGCAGACACACACACATACAAATGCCATAACATGGTTTCTCACAAACTCAAAATTAGGAAGGCTGCAATGACAACAACAAAATAGAAGAAATGGGCAAACTCTCCATTACTTTCTGTTCACAAACATCCCGATATGTTTTACAGACGCACACACACACACACACATCAGCACACAGTGAAATACACAAGCCATTAACATGATGAGACACTGGAGTAGGACTATGCTACATACACTTGGCACAGCAAAGGGGAGAAAACAACAAAATGTAAGTATTGCACATCATGGTACATGTCAGGGGGATCAAAAGGTTCAATTTGGGATTATTTTGACGAAAACTAAAACCACAACAAACCCTCAGGAGCTGTTGCTACAAGGTGACGTTCCCTCTCCGACGTGTCAGTTTGCTTTAAAGTCTATTATTAGGCATGCATTTCCACTGAAGTATAAACACAATGACCTGGATGAGCTGAGCAGTGAGAAGGAGGCCGAATATCAAAAATATGATGTTATGAGCATGGGGGAGGGGGGGAGGCAGGCAGTGCAGGCCACACTGACAGGTAGCTATCGGTTGTTGAGGGTTATTCGATTGCTCCGCCTCAGGAGGAGGTGCTTGTGAGGAGGCTGGCTGGCTACGACTGGGTACCTGAAACAAGCTTTACGAGGTCACTACGGGAGTCGTGGCAACGGCACCTGGGTCGAGTCAGAATGACGACCGGTTACTTCAGGTGCACGTGATCCCCTGCAGAGTTTAGGACTCTGAGCAGCCGGGACAGTGGAGGTTCTGGGGGTTGTGTTGAGTTACTGCATATATGAGACGTTTCCCTGAAAAACTAGCAACTGGTGTTGCAACTGCAATTTTTAAAGAACTTGAGTGAAAATCTGAAACGAGTGGTTTCAGGTGTATTAGCCCCTAAAAAACGTTGTTTTGTACATGACAGAATTGTATTTTATGGTTTTGTATTTTCTGTTGTGATACTTGATGATTATTATTGTTGTTGTTTATTGCAGAGCGTCTGTGTGTGAGTTCCACTCACACACACAAGGAGAGACTATTGCTTTCTTAATTAACCAAAGCAACGACGGCATCACTTGGCTTTGGCTGCAAAATGTCTTTTTGTTATCTTTACCTGACCGACTGTGAAAGTTTGGATGGATCGAGTGGTTGACAGGTTTTTTTGTATGTTTGATTTATCATTCCTTGGGAGGAGGGGGGTGGACGAAGAAAAAGGACAAGTACGTACATTTAAAAAAACACAGCCCCGCTCACACACACATTGCAAAACATGCACGCGCGCACTACTACTACTGATTGTGATGTGTCAATAGGAAAAGGAAGAAATGAAAATGCACGACTGTGGCGGTGTTAATCTGACAAACCTTGTTAATTATAAAGAAAATAAAGTATTTCAAATCTCATTCACTCACCATCGCCATCCATCGGCCCATTTACTCATCCACCTACACATCCATCTCTCATCCATGTGAACACACGTCGATCCTGCCATCACCCTGGTAAACCCCCCACCACCAGTCACTTAGCCTCCGACTCTTTTATCAATGGGATGAAAATACGACTGATCCACTTCTTAAGAGGTTAATTATGACACTGCCAATGAAACACGTCCTAATACAGAGGCCGAATAGAAAACTCAACAGATATGCCTGCAGGAACTCCTCCACATCCCTATTGTGACAGCTACCTGTGCATGCTAACATGACTGCAGTGCACGATCGTAGTGTGCGATTTACTCAGAGGGGCCGATTCTATGTCCAACACCCATGCAACATTCCTGATTCAGTAAGGTGCACATTTAAGTCATTTCTAGTTTACTGTCAGCCTGTTTGAGCAAAGAAAATTGTTCCTTGTTCAAGCACATCATGCAAAAAAATAAATAGAACAGGCTCAATTAAGGGGCCAATCAGATTTCAGCAAGGGCCAGTGCCCTCTTTATTTACGACCCTGTATCCGCCCCTGTATGTGTCCATCACTGACACTTTATAAATCTGCCACTTACCTTTTGTTTTTCTCAAATGTTGGAATGAAAATATCATTTGAATTACACTTTACTGCCAAAGGATTAGTAAACACTTCTCATTACACTTCAAAACTCAATTTCCAATAAAGAACAGGATTTGAACAGAGCTCTGAACGTTGGGTCAACCCAGCAAGCACATCTGTTGAGGTAACTGCTACATCTGAGCAAAACAGGATTTCAGCTGACTACAAGAACAGGCCGTGTTCAAAACAGAACCGTTGTCCCCATACTCTGGACACGTTTGTGTCCACAGCAGGGCGAGAGTCTCCTTGAGACAGATTGCGTCATCTTCAAACAAATTCAGTAGGCAGGCACGTGTTGAAAATCTGCTTTATATCTAAAAACTCCAAAGTAATTTGACCTTAACTGATGCAGAAACCTTTTTCCTCGAATATGTGGTAAGTGCCTGTTGAAGAACAAAACAAAAAAACCTTGTCTCCTCCAGTGTGTTGCACAGTCTAGGGCTCCTTTCAGGACAGGGCCATCAAAACAAAAACAACAAAAAAATCATGTCTCCACCGAACTCCCTCCTCCTGATGTGCAAATCGCAATATTCTCTTAAGTAAAAGACTCCAAGTAGAAACACTGGACATTTAGTATTGTCTATACATCAAATGAGTATGTCCTCTTCCTATACACAGTATACATATACTCATACAGACACTCACACATGTACACAAACACTTTTTTAAACATCTGTAATGTTTGCAGTGTGCATCCATTCAATATCAGTCCACTAGTGTTTTTGCAGTAGGGACAAAATCAGCCTTTATATAACTGCTTCACAACAAATAAAGAATTATTGTAGGTCATTAAGTTTTAGAGATGTTCTGTGTTTGCGCGTGTGTGTGTGTGTGTATGGACAGACACAGACCAGCATCATGCACACTCTAGCATACACACATAGATTACAAATATATGACACCCTTCAAAGATTCTGTGGCGTGAGCTTCTAGTCGTTGCTCTCAGTCTGATACGGAACATCATTGGGATATTTCGAAGGCTCTTTCCTTTTTAAATTTTTTTTTTTCGCCTGATCTCAACCGTTCAAAACACATTCCCAATACTTTTCCCTAACTTTTCTGTGGTGCACATGCTAAAAAAAAACCGTCGTATATCTAACTCCACCATCAAGTTTTCCTCGAACCATCTACTGACTGGAATTTTCTCCAACACCTGTCATTCCTTTTGTAATCCCATGGCACATCCGCTCCCACGTTACTAAACGACCCCTTCACTTTTCCTAAAGCTTCACCTTTCCAAAGTGCTGTTTGCTACTTTCTACCCTTGTCTAAATAACAACAAAAAAATCTAAAAACATACAGTACTGTGTAAATAAAGAGACAAGTAAAATTTGTTGGGCCGTATGGTGAGTGTGACAGCTGTGTTAAATGCTTTGAAACATCCTGACCCTCTCAGACCTGACGTGCAGATTCTCTCGGTTCCTGTCACACAGCCTTTCTGCTTAAAAAAATATAAAGTAATTCATCAACACAATGAGGACTGAGTGAAATAAAACAAAAAACGCTAAAGATGAGAGTAAAGACTCTACCGTCGTCACACTGAACAGAGTAGGTGTTGTTCCCTCTCTGTTGTGTGGCACACTGGCGCTACTTGATGACATCACAGATCCGGCCTGGCACATGACGGTGACACAGAAGCTGTGTCTCAATCTAAGGGCTGCTTCCTTCGGAGGCTGCATTTGCACAGCGTGACTAGACCGTCTCATTTCGAAGGCTCCTACAAATGCATCCTTCCATCCCAGAGAAACAAAGGCTCCTTTGCGGTCTACGTGGACAACAAAGACCACCTCCTAACGCCTTGTAGACCACGTCCTAAGAAGGAGGCAGCCCCTGAACTGTGACACAGTCTGAATTACACACTGACTCCCACCCTGATTTAGCAAATTAAAAACTTTATGATTTATCATGCTCAGGATCATCTGATGTTATATCTCTCCTGTGGTCCAGTGTGAAACCACTTGCATGGCCGGAGGTGGTGGGGACGTGTTTCCATCTGCAGTCACTAGCAGTGCTCAGAGACTGTCGAGAAGCTGACTGAGCACAAATTCAATTTGAAAATTGACATAATGTGTAAAGTGCAGCCAGCCGAGCAGAATCATCCGGCATCGCTCCCGTGTGCCACACAGCCACCGATCAACATTTAGCACACTTCACAAATCTCTCACCATAAGTCATCTTGTGAAAACCACCAAAACGGCACTGATTGCTTGTGTGATAGGAAATCCACCTATATAAATGTGTTATAGACTACATGGACTTAATGTAAGGTGATACCATGTAGGGTAAATTTACCTCTATAGTACAGTATTCAAGAGAAAACAATTTAAACAAAACTTTAAAACCAAGACATGAAACATTAATGTGGGCATTCATGTTTTTTTCTTTGTAGAGTCCTTTTATAATTTTTTTTCCGAATCCCAGGGGTCCTGTTAGCCTTCACTTGCCAATATTCGACCTTCCCTCGATGCTTATTTTCACCTCATGAGGGATGAAGGAAGGTTTAGGCAGGGTCAAAGGTGGCTCCTCTTCGGATTTCTCCACTTTTCGACCCTCAGGGGCAGACCACCTCCGCTTCCTGCCAGCTTTTGGGATGCTGGCAGCCTGACCTTTAGAAACTGACCCTCTTTCCCCAAACATTACATCCCCGTTTTCCACATTGGGGCCCCCTCCTCCGCTCCCATTCCCACTTCCACCGCTCCCCCGCTGGCTGATACCATTCTCCCGCTCGTTGTGCCTAAAGCCTCCTCCACTGCAGCTCTGGGGAGCATTAGACACAGCCCTTGGAGGTTTGAGGTGCCCGTGGCTAGAGGCTGGGACAGAGGCTGGGGTGGCCAGCTCCAGGGGCTGAGACTTCTTCAGAGATCCATTCTTAAGGTTCTTGAGAGTGAGCGAAATACAAACATCGCCCACAGAAAGCTTGGTGCAAGGCAGCTCTAGAAGCTGGGTGGTCCGGTCCGGGCAACACGAAGACCACCCCTGGCCGAAGACGAAGAAGGGATACTCCACCAAGACCTCGACGCTCACCTGAAGGAGAGGGAAAGAAGGGCGGGAAGGAGGAGAGGACTTCAATACTATGAAATGCAAAAACCCACATGAAAGCTTGTCATATCAGTGTGTTTTACATTAAGGGTGACACTGGGTCTATGTGCAGCATGTGACAGCTGCGGAGCTGCTACTTGAGGACTCTGGTATGACAACTTTATTTTTTCGAATAAAATTAGGTCTATGTACTCAATTGAATGTGAGGTTTAGTTTACTCTAAGTTTAGCCAAATGAATGACATTTTGGAAGATACACTTCTTCATTTCATCAAGACAGTTATATAAAATTGCAAACTCTGATAGTAACACCTAACAGAGAAACACATCTGGATGGTAATTGATAGTCTCATCAACCAAAGGGACAACATGTTTAACAAGAACAATACCAACACAGAAATTAAGCCTGAAATTTTTAATGAAATCCAACATAAGGTAATGCATTTAGAGGTAGAGCATTGAATGCTGCACAATCATTTGTATGTACGGCAGAACGAAGAGATGACAGATAGAAGCCAAGGGTGCTTTGATAAATAATGGGTACAGCGAGAGAGAAAATAAACCTGAGAAGGAAAAAGTGATGAAAGGAGCAAAGATCTGAAATAATGTAGAAAGAATGAGAAGGTGGGAGTGGAAGGTAGTTGCCGAGATTGAGATGGAAAGGCGAGTTTACAAAGGGAGGGTGGGTTCAACAAGGATAGGAGTGAGGGAAGTGAGTGTGAAAGAGAACAATGTCAAGAACGATTCAATTTTTCGAAGCATCAAACACTCTCAAAGCAAACGTCAGGCAACATTTTTCCTCTGTTATATAATTTTTAACTTCTCAGAGTGTCTTCTGATCGTGGACTCAAAGCTGCTACCACCTCTCGGGAAAAGAAAAAGAAAACAGAAGGAGAAGCCACAGAGGGAGCACAAGAGAGCAAGTCTTTGATAGATGGTCAGCTTTTGTGGGGTACAGTATCAAAGAGCAGCCGGGGGTGGGAGAGATGGTTAGAGATGTGCTGTGTGGGCGGACGAGTCACTGCACGGACAGATGAAATAGATTAACTGGCTTTAACGCGCACCTTCAAAGACAGCGAGAAGGATGTGTGTGAGTGAGTGCAAGAAAACCAGAAAAAAGAAAACATAGGAATAAATTATAGATACTAGGAGATTACTGGGAGATTAAAGTTATAAAAGAGTCATAGGTCTATGTGACCATTTACAAGATGCAGAAAGCACAAAATGACCAGTAAATAACACGTTTAAACAAGGCCTGATCTTAAATAGATAGTGCAGTGTGCAGGGTAAACGTGCTTTTTTTGGAATGGGCCATTGCCTGTCAAGTGGTAATGCTGGTTGCAGCTTTCTTTCTGAAACTGACCTGCAGTAATTGAGCTGTGGCTAGTAAGGCCCAGCTGCTGGACTCAGTCCACTGATCCCTGAGGCTGCGCCCCCTCTGCTGCACAAAGAGCTGTTCACCTGTTTATTCAAAGTTTGGTGGAGCTAGACTCCCAAACTGGAGAATCCCTTTTTGTTGATCTTTGTTGTGATCGACAGCATCACTTATGTTGAGCCGCCGCTGCTACAGAGTTATTCAAAGTTGATTAATATTGCAAGTATCAAGTTCCACCAAGTGCAACGCTGCAGTTCCTGGGGCTCTTAATTATACACATGCCAAGTGTTGAGCCGATAAGATAAATGGTTCTATAGATATATGAGCCACAGACAGACAGACAAGAGATTTCTGGAATTTGTAATTTCTTAGAAGTTAGATTATGCCTGTTCTCAAATGCATGGATAAGAGCAAAACTCTAAACACGGGTATTTTACAAGAACTGGCATATATTAATTTAACTGCTGAGCTCCTGACATGGAATATGTTATATGTCAGTGAAATGTCACATTCCCCATGAATAAATACTTAATAGAAAACCAGATGAGTGGATTCTGACATATAATTCTTTGAACTTCTGGGAAAATTTCATTATGAGAGCATGTTTGTTACATGAGTGTCGTACTATTAAATTGAACTTAATTACAGAGGGAGTAGCAGAGTCTCGTGAGATTCAAAATAATGGAGTCATTAATATGGAAGCATCTCATCTCTTCTCATTCAACATTAATAACACAAGCGGTGATGAAATCCCACTCAGAGCTCTTTTTAGAGGTCGACCTTATGACTAAGCTGGTTGATGTAGAACTGGATTTCCTACAACTTACTAAGTGAATATAAAGATATACTTAGCAGCAAATTAGCTTAGCATAAAGACTAGAATCAGTGGGATATAGCTATCCAGGCTCTATGGAAGAATACTAGATTTTGAGAGGGGAATGAGACTCAGAGAGGAATTGACTGGGCACAATAACTGAGTCACTTGACTGAGTAATAGATCCAATGAGTTGACAATGCCTAAAAGATATTTTTTTTAAATTGTGTCATACATTGTCATATGGCCATGGGAGGATAAGATAATTGAAGAACAAATCCATTCACTATCAGCCGTGATTTACTGAGCGGCTAAACCGGGGGGAAATCCTGCAATTGCTTGCTATATTAATCAACAAAAAGTTTAAGCATTAGTCATGGTGATGGGTCCTCATGTGTTGTTTGATTCAAACAAAGGACAGGCTTTAGTAGAGGTTGCTCTTTTTGTCTTACCTGTGCACGGTGCTCACCAACAGAAAACTGAACAACAGCTACGTTAGGTGAGGTGTGGCAGCTTTCGATGCGCTCCACCGTGGACGAGTCGATCTTCAGTTCATTGCTGATCTCGGCACTCTGGATGAAGTCCTCTGTCTTCAGATCCTCCACTCGTTTCAGCTCCCCGTCAGCCAGCTGGATGATGGAGCCCTTGATGAAATATGGGGGGAGTGAGGGAGGCGCCACCGTATTGGACTGGGGAGGAGGAGCAGAAGGAGCAACCAAACCTGGTGGCGTGGAAACAATGGGGAGATGAAGCTGGGCTGGGACCACTGCACCTGAAGCGGCATGGTGGTACGAGCCACTGGAGGTTTCAAGAGTCCGTTCTTTGGGAGCAGTGGCAGCAATGTACGTGTGTGGGAGTGCGCTAGGAAAAGGTGCAGCTTGGGTGGATGATGTCCCGTGGGAGGTTACAGGTTCCAATGTTGTGACCCCACCTCCGCTAACAGGGATTATGACTGGTTGGGCACCAGGAATGAGTAAGTGTTGTTGTAGGCTGGTGTGGTAGCTGATTGACGTATGCTGGCTTCCGCTGCCCCCTGCGATGTAACCGATGATAGGTGGCTGGGGGTAGATACTGCTGGAGGGGAGCCCCATTGAAAGTGCCTCTGTAGCACTGTGAGTGGTTTGGATAACGGTCTGGGGTGAGAGTGTACTGACAGCAGCTTTTAGACTGTCTACACTCAATGGTGGTGGAAACGTGAACGAGGAGGTGTTGTTGGAGGAGGAGGAGGATGTGCGATTGACTGGCTTGCCCAGGATGATTCCACCTTTCTCCAAGTGTGCGGGGGAACAAGTTGTCAGCTTCTCAGGGCCGGCTCTGGGTGGTACCAGCTGGTGGTCTCCATGGCTGTTGTGCATTAGCATAACAGAGGTTCTCAGCCCTGAGGGATCATGTGTAGAGTATTCTGATGGTAGAACCAGCTGGTGCTCATAAGAGGTCAAAGACGAATTGACATCGCGTGATTTGTTCCCCGACTTGGAGAGGCTGAACTCAGGGGATGCTCCGAACCGCCGGCCCCTTTCCAGTTCTCCATTGTGGAGTTCTCTGGGTCTAGAGCCACCTTCCTCATTCCTGGTGGATCCGTCCATGTACTGCACCAAAACCTGGGACATTCCATGTCCAAAAGTATGATGGTGGTGCAGTGACTGGGGAGAGAGGTGAACACCTCCTTGGTGATGAGTTGACAGAACAGTCCGTGGGGAAGTTGACATCTGAGTATGGTGAAGGGGGGGGTCCATAGAAGGCGGTGGCATGGAGGTCCGCCCAGTGGACGCTTTGTGCTGGTCATGCTTGGAGGCCTGCGAAGGAGCAGAGGCTGTCTCTGTGTGTGAGGGTCTCTGTGTGGCCATAGAGGAGGACGACGATGACAGGGAGAGGGGGGGAGGTGGAGGAGGAGGGGGGAGCAGTTGAGGGGAGATGTAGCCTGCGTACGGGGCAGTGTAAGGTGACGCTATGAACTGCAGATTGGGAGGCAGTTGGGTGTAATGGACAGTTCCGCCAACTGTAGATTGTGACAAGGGGGATGTATAAACTGTGGGAAGAGATGAGACTAGCCTCAGTGACGAAGAGGAGGTTGAAGAGTCTGATGTGGAGGACAGCGATTTATAATGGTGCCCATCAGACTGACTGGAGCTACGGTGCCCACCCATGCTGCTCTCATTCCCAGCCACACTGGCAAGCCAGGCCATGTTCTCTGAGCGCTGACTGTCACTGGCTGGTGGCATGATGAGTGAACGGTTTTCAGATGGTAAAGTGCTTGAGGGGATCTCCCTCTTCTTTGGGGGCAGACATTCATTACTGCGTTCCTGGTTGGACTTCATGATTTTGCCTCTTGTCCCTCAACTGTACTTGCTTTATCTTTCCTCAACTTTTAGACTTTTTTGGCAATCTTTCTCTTCCTTGTTTCCCCCCCAATTTCTGACTTTCTATTTTCCTTTCCTTTCTCTTTTTCTCACTTTTGATGTTCTATCCTTTGTCTCACTTTAATTAGCTATATAATTAACCTTCCTAATCTTGTTTCTTTTTCTGTCTCTATACAGCTCAGCCGAGGCCGTTGATTATCAGGTCTTTTCTTGATAACAAAGAAAATCCAGGCCCTTAGGAGCAGGTGAAGAAGGATTAAAGATGGAGATGAAGATATGGAGGGATGGTTAAGAGGGGAGGGGTAGGGCGGTCTGTTCGGTCCAGGGGTCTTTAGCGTCTGAAGGGTGAGCTCAGTGTGGTGGGGGAGAATGTTACGACATCACACCTGCTGCTGCCGCCGAGGACGACAGGGGGCCGAGTGCGTCGCACTTCATGCGGAATCATTTCCTTGCAAAAGCAAGCCTGCCCACACGCAGCACAAACCTGTGGAGGAGAAAGACAGGTTTTTAGTCATGTGAAAAAGGTAAATAGGTTCAAAATGTAGGGATATTTATATGTTTATTTTCACCAAGACAGCAAAAGCAATGGGACACTTATCTTCAATGTTTCTGTCTTTGAACATTTCAAGTGCTTTAGAAAATGAAGCTAACAAACTGCAAGTTATAAAACCAGTAGGTTATTCCTGGTCTGAGGTAAAGTGATACATATGACCACCACTGTTATTGTCACTGTGCTCTGAATAATGTAAAAAGACTGTTGGTAGTATTTGATTATGACTATTCATCAATCTTGATAGAGAAACTAAAACTCCTGAGTGTAAAGTCATTTCGAGGCCTCAGCAATGGAGAACAACGTGTTTCTAAAAACGACATGAAAATGAGAAAAACAAGACAGGAGCAAAATGATGCTGTTCACCAATAGACTCAGGAGGAGTACAATAATAAGGCCCTAAGAGGATAAACTGTTAAGAAAAAAATATGTTTCTATCCATGAAGGTCGACAAACAGGCCACGAGCCAACAAAATGATGCCCTCCATTAATAAACTCGGGAGCGCAACAAGCAGCTCCAAAAAAGTCTATGAAAAAACATTTGGCGATTGATGAATAAAAGGATGCACCACCGACAGTGTTTGAAACAACCTCGAATTTTCTGAAGGACGACTAAGAAATGCTGTAGGTTTAGTGAGACCACACACATTTAGATCAGAAGAAGAATAAAACCCAAAATATTCAATCTGCTTTGACAGAATTGCAGAAGCTTGGACCTGTAGTAATAATAGTCTAAACAACTCTAGGAAGTGTCTCACTCCTGTGGTACTTGGATCTCCAATAGCAGACTAGTGTGTGTGAATGTGCATATTTGCCATCTGTTAGCAAGGACCCCCTGCTGCAAAAGATTGAAAGCTTGGTGTGAACCTCATACATAATGCAGAGTCATTTCAAGACATGCCCAAAGACACACATGCCCAAAGTCACACACACACACACACACACACACACACACACACACACACACACACACACACACACACACACACACACACACACACACACACACACCATCTCGCTTACTCACTGACACCTGAGCATATTTAATTTAATTATGCTGACATATGTTCTTTTCCTGATGCTGAAGAATCCTGTGATTTAACTTGTGTTGCGGAGCTGAACACAACTACAGAGACAGACGTAGGAGTAAATTCATGCAAATTCACATTCAAACACAGAACACCCACGCACACACATGCAGACTTTGTTGCATAGAGGTGAACACACACACACACACACACACACACACACACACACACTTTCTCGCGCACACAGCGTCTGACAAGGGGGAGGGTTAAGAGGTACTGTTGATCGGTGAACTTTTAGCACTGAGATTCCCTCCGTCACTCTACCTCCCCTCCTGTCTCAGCCTGCCTGCCTCTCCTGCTTCACAACTCCATTATCCATTATCATTCTTCCATCTAATGGTTTTATGTTCCTAATCGTCTATCTGTCAATGTCTTTGATTCTCCTCCCCTGGCATCTTTTCACATTAATCTTCATCTCGTTTCTCGACTGTAACCTCTTCATTAACCGTGCTCCTGATGCTCTGTCACACAATGCAGACATTAAGGACATAAGACAAACCAATATCTTTCCATTCGCCGACGTTCTCCCCGAATTAAAACTTGGAGATAAGAGGAATGTTGTGTCTGAGAGCCATTTCATATCAGCTGCCACATCAAACACAGGCACAGTCTGTACATGCAGCCACAGATCTGTTCACGTCACTGTGACCACTTTTATCTTCAGAGATGTCAGAATGGAACAGTCACTTCTGACAGCTGACTCTGACGTGTGAAAAAAAGGTTCCTGAAAATCGCAGGAGAAATGGCATGCATTATGTAATGGGATATGTTGTACTGCTGCTACATTCAGCATGTGTAATAAGTGTGGTGTTGCATTGCAGCTGCAGAAAACCTGACTTCTTGCATTAACTTCTACACAATATG